GGCCAACAAGCAGCTCATTAGAACAATGCCGTAAGGGTTTTCAGCCTCCAGTTTTAGTTTTTTATGGATCAGGTTTCTTAATTATGATTTTAGTTGCAGCCCCATGGTCCCTGTTTGCTGATAAAATGGGTCAGAAATGAAGACAGCAGCAAATGAATGTTCGAAAGAGAGAGTAAGTCAACCAACTTTGAGACTGAAGATTTTGAGAGCTATTTGGGCCACCAGAGAGAGAAAAGAAAAAGGAGAATAAATGAATAAATCTTCCGCCTTCATCTCTGCATTCCTTTTTATCAAAGATTTGACTATCCTTCCTAATGAGCATCTGAGAGTTTGCGTCTTCTAAAAGGAGGACACCAAAATGTATTATGCTTCTGACTTACCTGAAACTGGGAGGTATATTGACAATATGGAGACAGGAGTGACCTACAGCCTGGAAATACAGCTGAAGAAAAATCAGTGTACTCACCAAATGAGTAATTTAGAGGAAGAAAGTTTGCAGTCTAATGACAAGATGTTTGAATTTACAGTTTTGAAAATGGGCTGTGTCTAAGTGGGGCTGTCAGACTCTGGAGTTAAATGCAATGGAGAGGTGTGGTACCCAGATACCCAACAGTGAGCCTGCCACCTGCCTCATGTTTCTGTGTAGCCCACCCAGCAATTAATAAGGACAATTTATGGAGCCAAAGATTATACAGAAAATATAAAATCTGACCTCAAAGTCTAGGTCATACAGGACATGGCTTGCTCTATTTAGAATTATACCTTTCTCTTTCTTGAGTTACTCGATATGAAAGAAGGCTAAAGCAGTAATATGGAGAAATCCACCTGGCTCTTACCAACAACAGCGCTGAGTTTTTCTCAGTACACGAATGATCTGCCATGGAAACAGATCTTCCAGCCTCAGCTAGGCTCTCAGATGAAAGAATCTGGGGACATCATCATGACTGCAAACTTGTGAAACACACAGAATCACCCAGCTAAGGCCCTGCTGGATTCTGACACACAGAAACTGGGAAACAATAAGGAATTGTTGCTTTAAGATGCTAATTTTTTTGGTATTTTTTTTCCAAAAGTACACAATTTTGGAGACACAACATGTCTACGTGTATTGTCTGTAAGAAGAAACATTGAGATGGAGATCACTAGAGGCAATTGAGGAAAGAACCGATATGCCAAAGTATGGAATACATCAACAAATAGGAGCTGAAATCATGCAGGATAATCACAGGACTTGGAGTAAGAAGAGACTCAAGGAGAGAAGAACTGATTCAAGAGCATCTAGATCCAAATTCTCAACTGAAAGAAAAAGTGGGGTGCAGGATGGTTGACACAAATATAAGCACCTCAAAGGAGCAAGAGTTTTTCTGAGAAGATAAAATAAACATGAGAAAGCTGAACCTGAACCCAGTGAAGGTGGAGCTGAGCCCACTTTGCAGCCTCAGCGAACACAGCAGTGGATTCAGTGGTAAATATGCAAGTGCAAGAGAGATTCCTCGATTGCCTATGCACAAATCCCATCCAGTGTAGAATCTGAAGCTGTTTATACTAATGTAAGAACTTTGGTGCAACTATTGGTACACATTTTCTAAAACAGAGGAACTTTTATATTTCAGATTCTTATATTTGTAAAACAAGCATAGTTTGCTGCACTGTTCACAGTGAGCAAGAAGACAGCATTTCTTGATCTTCTTAAATAAACAAAATCCAGCTTTGAAGCATATCTTGGAACCACAAATACACAGGCTCTTTCACTTCTTTTACTTTTTATGTTTCATCACTCCCTGGAATGACACCAGGATTTAGGGACCAAACAATCAGGGAAAGGTGAAAGAGCTGCCTCCCATTAGTAGTCCAGTTTCATCACCACTGAGATTCATTAATCCAGCCCCTAAAATCTGTTACAAAATAGAAACATTGAACTCCTTCACTGCAGCTTTCAAAGCCGTAGAGTTTAGCACTCAGTGCCCAGGTGTCTATGCCAAGACCATGCTATGGCTGGCACTTGTCCTTCTGGTATCACAGAACCGACCACATCTCTGTCCTCCCAGAAGACAGAGAATCCAAGTGTCTCCCATATTGGGACCAACATCTTCCCCTACGAGCACCAGTCCCATCTTTCTGTAGACAGTTCGACAGGATTGTTTTAATCATACATGCACACAAATGTTGTTTAGGGATTTTTACACATACAATATCTATCTTTGTATTTCTATTTTTTAAAATAGACATTTCCTCCTGAGGCAAAGAAGCAGTAAACATAAAAAAAAAACCTTGGCTATGCAGTATGCCTTGGAAAAAATGAGAGAAATTCATATTTCTATCTAGTTGTGTTATGCCACAGCAATAACCAAAAAATGAGTCACTGATGTATATACTCATGTCTATTTTGCCAGTCAGTGCAGTGAACATTTACTGGATTGTATAGCTATCTCCATTTTTTTCTAGACACCGCAAGAATATATATCTTTCTGGTAATGTCTTAATAAGAGAAAAATATTAACATGAGTGTGCATGCCTTCCACATACCCACTGGGTGCCGAGCATTTATAAAAGTTGTTACTTGTGTACAATCTAGTATAGAAGGGAGGAAAAAGCTGGTAGCTCCTATACAATTTGCCACTGGCAACAATAAAATCTTTCAAAACATTGAAGGCTGAGTTATATAGTCAGTGTCTAATTATTTTGAAATTAATAACTGCTGTAATAATAAAGTTCTTGTGCACATGGCATTTTAGCCACTTGATTAAACTCAGTAATTCTTTCCATGACTAGGGTTATGAAGAGGTTACATTTTGATTCCTATAATTTCTTAAACACAGAGTATCCCCTACAGGAAGGCTTTTGTTTACTTTTTGATTAGACACTTTTCAGACAAAAAAAGTAAATGCAACAGATATCCACAGCAATACCAAGATGTATCAAATACTACCATTTTTCTATATTCTAGCCATCACTCTTCTCAAAAAAATAAAGCCCTAGTATAGCGCTGTGCCTGCTGCTTCCCACCTCCTGTGTTTTGCATACCTGGAAACCAGAGAGCTCCCTTTCCATCCTCTCTGGGCATGAAAATGGCATTCCTCTGGATACTTGAAAAGGAAATGGAAAAATAAAGTCTAACTGTTTCTTGGGCATTTTATTTCAATCAATTCCATTTTCAGTTCCTGGCTCCCTCATGCCCAGCAATATCCACAGGTGCCAATTAAAAGTATTTCCAAGGAAAGTTCTAGTGTCTCCAATTCCTGAGGCTTTCTTGTGCTCTGTGAGTTGAATCACTTACTTCTGATTGGCATTTCCTTCTGCAGGCATTTGGTTTTTGTAATTTAGCTAGACTCCTCATTGTATTAATCATTTTCAACAGTTTCATTAATTTGCACCATCTTATGTATCTTCAATTTCTATGGTTTGAATTTTTATTGCTATTTTATTGCATATCAAGCAAAAGTAAACACCTGTTTCATCAATGCTATAGTTTGTCTTTCTCCCTTCCAAAATTCATGTTGAAAGGCAGTTCCCAGTGCACCAGTTTTGGGAGGCATGGTCTTTGGGAGGTATTTCACGAGCTTTGCCATCATGAATAGGATTCAGTTCTCTCATTAAAGAGCTTGATGGAGTGTGACACCCCATCTCCCCATTCACTTTTCATCATGTAAGGACACAGTATTCCTCCTCTCTGGAGGACATAGCTTTCAAGGTGCCATCTTGGAATCAGGTATGGAACCCTCACCAGACTTTGAACCTGCCAGTAACTTGATCTTGGACTTCTTGGGCTCCTAAAATGTGAAAAGTAAACCTTTATTCTGTATAAGTTACATAGTCTATGATATTTTGTTGTATCAATATATAGTATAACCTTTGGACTAAGGTAATCAACCAAAGGTTTTTTTCTATAAGAATAAATTTTAGAACCATTTATTAATGAATATAATAGACCAAATGACCAATTTTGAGAAGATACAGTTTTGAAAGGGCCACTTTTGCCTATAAAATACAAAGACTGATCTTTATAAACTTTTAATTATAAGAAAAAAATTCCTCATATATGAAACTCGATCAGTTATGGTGGTATCCAGACAACAGCAAATTCAGTACTTTATTGCCAAGTTAAATTCACTGGGAGCTTTTGTGTAATTACTTTCACATCCTCAAATTGGGCTCTGCTAGCTTTTCTTGGATCAGAAAAGTTTTCTATTCCATTTATTATTTACAAAACCAAGATATTAGACTATGTTACAATAAGATGCTGCGGAATAAGCAATAAAATGGTTGGGAAACAGTTTTACAACTATAAGAGGGTTCATACTTGTCTGGAACATTATTCACTCACCATCTGTTACTTCAGCCAATGTATACTACATGTTGCTGATGGGCTAAGCATGGAGCTAAGAGCTCAGTGTTGCAACTTGTGTGAGATTCAGTCCCTGTATGGTCATGCCTACTTTGTCCTACCTTTGACAATGTCTTAATACACACCGTAGTCATAAATTTTAATTAACAACATGAAGAAAGAAAGCATGGCACTCTTTATTTAACAGAAGGCTAACTTTTTAAATAGTTACTGGGGTTTACTATTTTAGGACAATCTACTATGGAACTAAAAGTTAAATATACACAGCAGAAGATCGCAGTTACATATTTTCTTTTAAAATGTCACTTTTTCTATCTGAAATCACACGCTAGTGATTGATTAAGAATATGCTAAAAGGGTAGATGGTGATTTCTAGCAACAAGATCGGAGTACAAAAGAACGTGTTTAAATCTACAAGTATAGTTCCTTCTACGCTAAGTGGCAGTAATTTCTAAGAACTCAGCCTTTAGGCCTGGGGCTGCTTCCCAGGCTACTGCTGGAATTCCAGATTGTGGCACTCTGCTGAAACATGAGTTCAGTTACCAAATATAGCTGAGTGTAGTAAGAGGCCATGAAGGTCTGAGGCCACAGTTGCCTCAAAGTGACCACGGACCAAGCAGCCTCTAATGGACAGGCAAAGCCAAACTCTGCTCTCCGAGAAAAGAAGAAACGTTCATCGGAAGTTCATCACCTTCCTGGAAGCTTCAAACTGACCAAGCATTGAAAAGGTCTGTAAGGTGCATCTTGATATACTGACTTGTAGGACAACATTGTAAGGACTTTGTGGGAAAAAAAAAAACTAGAAATATAACAGTGGTTTGCCTTTGAAGTTACAATAGCATTTAGAAGGTGACTGACTTTTCCTTCAGTTAGAGAAGAAAAGTAATGTGTAGCTTTTAGTCTTTCCATAATCGGGGAATTTATAAGATTTGAGTGCTGACTTTATCTTTGGCCAGGCTGTCAGATAACAAACCTTTCGAATATAACCTTAGGCAAGCTAAATCAGTGCTATCAATTACAAAAGATTACATATGTTAATGGAGCCAAATCTGTCACAATTGTGCCTGTCTTATGTTTCACAGCAAGTAAAAATACAGTTATCTAGAACCTCATTCACCATTAAGTTAAAAACTCAATAATTTAAAATGATAGGTTTTAAATAAGTCAAACATGTATAAATACCGAATAGTTTCTCTGGTGTGAAAAACTATAATAGTACGTAAGATCCTAATGAGATAATTGACAATGTGAAAAATAGGAAGAAAGGGACTAAAAGTGTAGGGAAAGTGGGAAAGGGTAGGGGAAAGCTATTAAGGAAAAAGAAAAAAATAGGAGAAAATGAAAAAATGGAAATAAAGTGTTTGTAAATGGGGAGGGGAGGAGGGGGGTGAAGGGAGGGCAGGGACAAGGGGAAAAAATGAGAACCAAGACCTGTCATGTAAAGGTACAAGACCCCAATAATGAATGTAACTGTACTGTATACCTAAAATGCACCAATAAACTCAATTTTTAAAAATGATAGGTTCTGTAACATTGTAAGTTGTTAATTATCCTTTCAAAGGATTTCAAAAATTACTCCCAGGACCTAATTAAGTCAATTGAATAGTAATAGTAGGCATTTTAAATGATATCTATGCATAAAATATACATATTGTTTTAAAAGATAAAGCATACTAAAGGAAACTTCAGTATAGCCTATGGAATCCAGTTGTTTAAATATCACAACATAATTTTATATTGTGTTGTTTTAAGTTATACATGAAATTGCTATACATGATGTTGATATGGAACAATTTCAGGCTCATATTACTTTTTCACATTTACTAGAAATGCTAACTGCCATCTACTATGAATACTGTAACCAAATATAAAGCCTATTTCTTGGCAATATTATATTGTATGTTACATTATAAAAATATAAAACTATTTAAAACGTATTTCATGGTACACATCATAAATTGTATTCCTTTTATATAATAAAGATGCCTTTAAAGTTTTTCTCAAGGAACTTAAATATTCACCTTAACGATTTATATTTTTAAAATAACAATTATTAACAGTAATGAGGCCCAAGAGATTACTCCAGCCAATATCTGCTCTGTAAATAAATGATAACATGCTCCTAGAATATGAATCGGTCCACTCTCACAATGGCATCAGGTATGGATTACAGTCTGTATCTCAGGCGCTCTGCGTCTGCTACCTGTCCAGCTTCTCTAATTCATTGCCAAGACCAAACATTGAAACTGGCCCTATAGCACTCACAAGAGAATAAGAATCTAGATCACACTAGACAATTACAATCACTTTGATTCATTTACTTTGTGGGGGAAAAAAAAAGACTGTAGAGAGAAAACATTTTCCAGGTTTACGAATACATCTGACAAGATTTTAAGAAGATATCAGCTGAAATCTGCAAGGTCAAGACAAGAGTCTCTGCTTCCTTCACACAGAATGTGTGGAGACGTAAAGCACACTGCAATCTGTGAGTGCCAGTTAGGCATTCAGCCCATGTACACGTAATAGCTCATCCTGACTAAGTTTCTTTGCTAGCAAAGAAAACTAAGGTTGGGCAAAGAAGTCTAACTATGATTTAGAACTGTTAAACCATCATTTTAGAGAATATGGAAACAGTTTTTACAAACGGATTTTGACTTTAAGCAAAAAATGAATAAACTAGCTGTGAGGTTTAAATACCAGACTTTTGCAACTAATTTGATATGATAGGCACAAGTGATAAAGAGGACACCAAAAATGATTCCACACTTTTTTCTGTAAAATATTGAGCTGTTATAGCGTCAAGTGATCTATTATGATTCTATCTCTGAAATTGAGACAAAATATCTTATTTGGAGGGATATTTACAACTGTAGACTAAATATGATATATTTTCTTGGAGTAAAATTTTGCCTAATGATAAGAAGGAAAAGAATCCTGTGCATTTAATAAAAATATAAAATTGCCATGCATTTTTTTCATCACACACTAGACTTAAAAAATTTTTCCTGATTGACTTTAGCCCTACATGGGAGGAAAGAGGGGAAATTTGCAACAAAAGAAAAGAAGGAGAGAGGAAGGAAGCAGAGAAATAGCCGGTAACAGATTTAGTCTAGGGGTTAGTCATGCTTCCAAAAACGCAAAATTAAATTTTAAAGATTTTCGTCAATTTTGATTTTAATTGTAAAATACTTGCAATATCAAATCTTCAAATCAACAGTTTCTGTTTCTGTTTTTAGTAATTGTTTAAATGTGAAAATTTAAAAATCAAACTGCTAAGCTTAAAATAACTTAATCATTTTGATGCTTTTTTCAAAGATTATGAAATAAGCAACAAAAGATCTCCCCACATGTCCCATCCCTCAACTCCACCCATGCCTGATCCTACCACGAAGATAATCGTGGTTAATTCTTTGGCTTCTGTTCTTACAACCACTCATATATCTATTCCTAGCTGTACGTGCATTTTAGGTCACTATTGAAACATCAGTGGCCCTGCCTGGCCTCTCCAAATTACCCGACAATGGTAATAGCTGACACTGCATGATCTTTAGAGCCTGTCAACGTTTTTCTCACATCAAATATTTTTTCTTTCAAAATCGTAGCACCCTTCAGTAGCTCTGAAAGTGTTACTTGGACAGAATGCAGAAGTTCTCCCCCATCAAATTCTTAATTACCCATTTATGGGAAAAGGAAAACTTTATAGTTAGATGAAAGTTTCAATCCTGAGTCTCCCATGACCTAATGGTTCAAATTTGACTCAATATTTCAATTCTCTCTCTTTCTTTCTTTTTTTTTTTTTTTTTGCTGTAATTTGAAATAATGAAATAGAAAAATAGTATCTGTTCAGTAAATTGCCTTGTGAAAGCATGTCAGGCAGAAGCTTAGGTAGAAAGTCTTCGGAAAGCCCAGCTTTTGCTGTTTGTAGCCCTTCTACTAAAGCTTACTATTTCTTGTGCATATATATTATGCTTTGTCCTCCCCGAGTTCCTTCAAAGTGAAAAATCCTTTCTCATTTCATCAGTCAATAATGCCTTCAAAGGGATGTAAGGTATACCACAGGTAGTTTTTGACTGACAACATAAAAAATTCTTCCAAGTATCATAGATCTGATTCCCAGATAACCTATCACCAAAAGTCAATAAATTTAGAAACACAATGCATTCATAGTTTAAAAATTTGTCTCTTTTCCACCATCTATATATTCATATATGTATATAACTATGTACACTTATATGTACTGCATATTCAGAAATTCAAAAGATAAATGTTTTCCCAAGTATTAGGCTAGTACTTCAAGATAATTTAAGATATAAAGTTATATATGTGAGAATGTGTGCTACACATGCCAAATATAAAGTCTTCAATGAAAATTTATTGACATATACTATATTTTGCAGCACAATAGGAGAATCCAGATGATAAAACTTTAAGGAGAAATCATGAATCTTAAATTTGCAATTAGAAGTAGTCTATAAATTAAATGGCATAAAATTATTTTAAGAAGAGGGCCAGTGGTTTGGCTTGGTGATTTGGCTCAGTGTTTCCACCACCTGCCTCACAATCATAAGGGCCCAAGTTCAATCCCTGGTACAAAAAAAAAAAAAATCAGATATGAAGAGACTTATCAAAATAGTTGACAGTGGAAGTTTATATTTGAAAGCAACAGGGCTGAGGATAAGCCATGGCCTGATAAGCTGCCTGTTGACAGCTGGAGAGACAGGAACCTGATGCTCAATGGCATTTGCCAGCCTCCCTTTGCTCTACCAAACGGCTGCTTAAGGTTAAGAGTTTGACTTTATGAAAAAATCCCAAAATTCGCCATTTGCCTGCACAGCACCATAAGGTGATCCAGCAGCTGCCTCTATAGCACAGTCTGAAGAACCTAAAGCACCACTAACCTGAGCATGTGCTCCTCTGTGACTGTCACCAACCTCCGCTCCAGCGGTGGGCCTTCCATAACAGCATGGCCTCCAGAAATTGATGTTAACATGGAAATGTCTGTTTTATTTCATTTCATTGTGTCTGAGATTATTTTACCCTAACATCTTTTGAAGGAAAGTTGAGGCTGTGTGCCGTGAAAGCATAACATGATTGCTCACAATTAAGAAATGATATGGGACCATGCTAGGTAAAAGAAGCTCCGAATCAGATTTTTTTTTCTCATTTTATTACTGATAGTTTTTCTCTTACTAGAATGTTAACTCTTGGAATGGGACTGCAACTCAGTAGTTGAGCATGTGCTTAGCATGTGTGGGTCCCTGAGTTCAAATATCAACCACCAAAGAGCAAACACTGAACAAATGATTGTTAGCTCCTAGGGCAGAGAAGCCATCTCACAGCTATGCCTCCAGCACATAGTAGACACTCAATGATCAATAACTCAATGCTGAGTGAGATAACAGAGAAAATAAGCACACACGTATATTTTCAGCTACACATTTGTATTGCTATGATCTTACATAGAGAAAGCACCACAAATGTCACCAAAAAGAACTAAACATGAATTCAGAAAAGTTAGAGGATATAAAATCAACCTATAAAAAAAATCAATAGCCTTGCTAAGTGCCAACAGCAAATCTTCTGAAACAGAAATCAAAATCCCATTTACAATCACGACAGACATACATGGTTGATAGATAGATAGACAGATAGATAACCAGATCCCTACAATGAAAACCATAACATATTGATGGAAGGTATTGAAGAAGGTACAAAAAAGTGGAAAGAC